TATTTTGTTGCACCACATACTTAGCAGTAAGATGCAGCCCAAGTTCAGAAAAACTTTGAGGCTGTGCAGAGGTTTTTACTTAAAAAGAATGGTGTGCCTTATAATAAAAAAGTACAATAATCCATTCTCTGTTCTTGAATCCTTCAAGATTTTCAAAAACTTGAAATAAATAACAAACAGTGGGCATATTAATGCTGTCAAGGCAACAATTATGACATATCAATCACAGGGCTCAACACTAACTTTTCAACATACTAGCCAAGTGGCTAGTGACAAATTAAATCTTACAACAATTTTGGTTTGTTTACTAGCCAAACTGGTTAGTGGAAATAAAAAAACCACTGACCAAAACTGAATATCTACTAGTCTGTGGCTAGTTGGCTACAGTTAGTGTAGAGCCCTAAATCACTATTATCTTGCACTTGCTTCAATCCACACTGGCACACAATCGCCTTCTTAGTGCTAAGACTAAAACTCAAATGCCCCCCCTTATACATTATAGAAGCAAAGAGGGATGAATTTGGGACATGTTCATAGTTTACATTTCATCATCTTCAAAGCCTAAATCTTCTTCTGGAAAGTCACCCAATGTGACATCCTTGGGTTTAATGAATCCTCCATATTTGGGTGGACATGTGAAGTATCTTTTTCCAGCAACACTGAAAATGGAAAAAAAATTAACAGCACCAGTCATTACATTTGAGGTATGTTATGACTTAAATAAAATGTACCTACAGTACCCCTACTGCTGTCTAACATTTTGCTTTGAAATTTGAAAGTAAGTTTGGCATCATGCAGCAACCCAGTTCACAAAGACAGAGTAGAAAGTATGTTGGAGGATAGTTCACAGAATTCAGGTTCAAATTATTGCAGAACATTTCTTTTTTTCAGAATTATGAAGATTGTAATTTATCTAAAACAAAGGAAAAACAAGTTTAAAAACTTAGTTGTATAAAGCTAACACAGACATTTTGACGCATAAGCATTCTCCTGGTGTTTTGGGTTTTTTAACTCTAATTGAAAAGTAATGTTTTCAAAACCCATTAAAATGATTTTTTTTCCTCCATCCTGATTTAAAAACTCAAGATCATAATTTGGCTAAGGAATGAACTAAAAATTAAATGATTTTTAAACTACACCACCCTGTAGACATTTACATTCAATCTTGTTGAAAAGTAGCCATGGAAGATGCTAAATAAGAAGTAAATAAAAACATCTACAAATTTGAAGTTTAGTACCTGCCGTCATTTTTTCCAAACGGTTCGTCATACTTAACTCCGACCCACCAGCCAGGTTTGAAGCTTGTTTTCCCTACAAAGGAAAAAAGAGAATTAAGATTTTTGGCTCTTGCTGATGAATGGAATTTGA